CCGTACTCTATGATGCTATTTACAGAAGCCCAACAATTCCCACCAAGAGCAAGCACTAGGCGACAGAGGCAAGGAAAAACTTCCTTTTAAGAGGCAGAAACCTCGAGCAGAACCATGGCTCAGGGTAGGCGGCCATCTGCCTCGACCGGTTGGGGGGGGGAGAGAGAGAGAGAGAGAGAGAGGAGGCAGCCTACACAATATACACACAGAGGTACAGACAGTAAAGGTGATGTTGCTATAGACTAAATGAAGAATGGTACAGATATTTATAGTAGTGTTAATGGCAACAGTCGCAATGTCAATGACCACAACAACAATAGGACCAGTAACAATAGTCGTTGCAGCAGAGGGTGTCGAGCAGGAACACGGGGGCAGCAGGTGACCCGCAGCCACAGATCCAGACTCCACAGCTCCAGAGCCAGAAAACCTGCAGGAAGTGATAGGAGGAGAGAGGAGAGGGACGAGAAAGCACAAGACTACCGGAAAGGGGAGAAGTTGTGTTAGTAACATGCAATAATGGGATGAGGTTGCATACAGAGGGAGAGAAAGTAGAGGAGAGAGGAGCTCAGTGCATCATAGGAAATCCCCCGGCAGTCTAGGCCTATAGCAGCATAACTAAGGGATGGTTCAGGACTCACCTGAGCCAGCCCTAACTATAAGCTTTATCAAAGAGGAAAGTCTTAAGCCTACTCTTAAATGTGGAGATGGTGTCTGCCTCCTGAACCCAAACTGGAACCTGGTTCCACAGGAGAGGAGCTTGGTAGCTGAATGCTCTGGCTCCAAGTCTACTTTTGGAGACTCTAGGAACCACAAGTAACCCTGCATTCTGGGAGCGCAGTGCTCTGGTGGGGTAGTAAGGTACTATGAGCTCTTTAAGATAAGATGGTGCCTGACCATTAAGAGCTTTGTAGGTAAGAAGAATGATTTTAAATTCTATTCTGGATTTTACTGGAAGCCAATGCAAAGAAGCTAAAACAGGAGAAATGTGATCTCTTTTCCTGGTTCCTGTCAGAACATGTGCTGCAGCATTCTGGATCAGCTGAAGAGTCTTAACGGACTTTTTCGAGCAGCCTGATAATAAGGAATTGCAGTAATCCAGCCTGGAAGTAACAAATGCATGGACTAGTTTTTCTGCATCATTTCTAGACAGGATGTTCCTGATTTTCGCAATATTACGTAGGTGGAAAAAGGCGGTTCTTGAAATTTGCTTAATGTGAGACGTAAACGACATGTCCTGATCAAAGATAACTCCAAGATTCCTCACAGTGGTGCTGGAGGCAAGGGCGATGCCATCCAGGGAAACTATATCTTTAGATAACTGATGAGTTTCATCTGGCTTGATCGATAGATATAACTGAGTATCATCTGCATAACAATGAAAGCTTATGGAATGTTTCCTGATAATATTGCTTAAGGGAAGCATATATAAAGTGAAGAGGATTGGTCCGAGGACAGTTTTAAAACATTAAAAGTATATAATTTACCTTTTATGTTTTTGTTTGTAAAACTGTGTGACATATATACAACTCTGCAGTGAACACACTAAGTCAAGTAAATTAAAGTGCCTCTGCAAAACATTGGATATTCATCACATAGTTATTGATTATAGTCATTAGTGTTAGTCTGTTACATTACATTACCAAAGTGTTTGAAACTCTTTCACACTGTAAATCATGTTAGGAATTGTTACTTTGTCCTATATTCACGCTGACATGTATAACTTTGTGCACAGTTTCTGATGCAGTAGTTTTCAACAATGTTTCCTTGGACAACCTCCATAAGTGATACTCAAAAAGAGCAGCCGCACTTTTCAAAGGCCCTGCATGTGACTGCAGAGTGATGAGCCCATATAGATTAAATGTGATGATGATGACTGCTTCATCTCTAATCTGCATCTCAAAATCTTTTAAGCGATGTTATGTCACCCCTCCTCAGATTATGACGGACACCATCCAACTCCTCCTGAGTCATCATGGCTATGCACGTTAGTGTGCACGTTCATATGCACGTGCACTTTTGTGTACAGTTAATCACAAGTATACAGTACTTTATTATTGCAGCTTGTACTTATCTGTAGCAATAGACATATGTAGACATATATTTCTTTATATGTATATATCATTCATATCTTGCACTTTGTATAATAATGTATCATATTTTATACAATTACTGCTTAAGCACTTCTGATTAGATGCTATCTACACTGTACCTAGTGACATGCGCAATGACAATAAAGTTGAATCAAATCAAATCTAATCTAATCTACAGTAGGGAAACCTATCAACATACTTGACCAACCTTTGGGAAAACCTTTTATAACAAAATTGGAGATTAGCATGCACAGTAATTCCTGTATTATGTAACAACACCTGATTTAAACAGTTTCAAACTGACATTTAGACATTATACAGACAATCAAATAAGCATCAACAAGATCAAAAAGCACGTATTGTACACACAATATACAGTTTACTTGTAATGCATGTAATAATGTGCAAAAATGTTGTGTGCAAGTGCCATATGCACAGTCTAAGTGATTTTAAGTTATGTGATGTGTAACCACATTTTCCCTAGTATTTCCTATTACTTTCCTAAGACATTTCTTGGAAAGACCTGTGGAATTTGTTTGGAAAATTCTGAGATATTGAGCCAGTGCACATAGTAAGTATTTGAGTTTTTAAGAAAGAATCAGGAAGTCTTTATATAGTAGTGGTTTATCTGGGTAGAGTGTATAAGCATTTGTTGATTTCAAGAGACAACGATTAAGAGCAACTAACAGAAATCCATTGTATCGTGAAACTTGATTCCCCATGTATGTTTCAATAGATAGTTGCCTGTAATTTACAACTACACAGGAAGACACGTTTTACATATTTGCATGTTCAGTTGACATCCTGAACTAGCTACCGAAAACATGACTACTGTGGTAAAAGAAGTTTAGCTACCTATTAACTGGAGTTAGATGACACTGTACCAACTGAACACATTTCACCATAATTAGTATCAAATTACACAGCCCTTTCCAGTAACCCTTCCAAGAAATTACAGTTACATATAAGTTATTTTCCTTAAATTATTAGGAATCTATGGGACATGTAAAATAAAGCATTACTGTAACCACATATTTATGGTAACAAGTTGTAAGCTGTATCAATGTGTTGGTTCCGTAAATCTGTTAACAGATCACAAAAGGAGCCAGAAGTTCATTTATTTCATTCAGATGATATGTGCTTATCAGCGCCATACTGTCGGTAGTGGTAACGCATAACTTTGATGCTATGAATCAGAAGCGATTGGTTCTGCATGTAGGGACTGTTGCATGTGTAGGTAGGATGGACCGTGCAAAAACAAACTCTGCTGTCTGCGTACGCAGATAATAAAGTTCTCATCTCTTCTTCTAACTAAGTTTTGTGATCTGACACAACTGGTCTAACAAAAAAGGTACATGTGTACTGTACCACATGAACCTTTCTTTTGCTGCCTGTATTGCACTGTTTGAACACACCTTTGAAGTATATTAACGATGCAGCCATGGTGGGCATGTTGTAATGCCGCAATAATGATTGCAATATACATTAGGAGTAGCAAAGTGTCCCCAGTAAGTTAAAGTTTAACACAGACTGTGGAGATGTAGACTTTAGTTGAAAGAATGACGATGAGCGAGAACAAGTCAAGAAAATGTCTGCTTAATTAAAAATACCCTAAGTAAATATGTTATTCCCATGACAACTAAAATGTTCACGGTCTCACAAGGTGATTTGGACTGGTTTTCTGATAATCCATCAAAAGCATTCACTCTTTCTCACAGTCTGAACCATCCTGCTTGAGTAAAAGCCCTTAGCATGTCTGTCTGCGGCACTCAGCAGGTCATTGGCTTTCACCTGACCTCAAGCTGTGCATGAAGAAAAGGCAAATAGTAGGGCAGGAGGGATTACCACTGACTCTATATACCCAGACACCATCTGTTCCAAAATACACTCTTCTAGTATGTTACGCATATTTACTACCTTCTTGTTAACCCAGTAGAACTCTCTTTAAATCTCTTAACAGCTACTGATTATTACTATTACCGTAGCATCTATTTTTATTCAGGCCTTATTTGCACTCTGTGAGATTTCTGAGACTGAAAGTGTTAACCTTGGATGGACCTTTTATCTCTTCTGAGTCTTTTGGTTTGGCTGTTATCTGGTTATTGTGCTCTCTGCAGATTGTTTGTGAGTGAAAAGACTGTTACACCATTGTGTGAGCGAACTGTGTGTTTTTGTAGGTAAAGTTGTAGTCTGCAGCCCCAACTGTCACTGACTCAAGTGACATCACTTGAGGCAATTTATCAGATTCAGCAGAAGGCTTTATCCAAATGTTTCACGTATGTAGCAGTACTCCCTAAGACCTGTAAACATACTTCAATGTGTAAAATTAGGTGAGTTCTTCACATCTAGGACCATCATCAGGTCAAACATGGTCCAAAATTCTGATTTATCATCAAACCTAACCTAATTAATAAAACAAAGGACATTCTCATCAGCCTCAGCTGTACTTTGTTTCGCTAATTAGCTAATGTTAGCACACTAACACGCTAAACTAAGATGCTGAGCGTGGTGAACTTGAACTTTTTAACAGCAGTTGTTAATATTGTATATGATATATTTGATGTTAGAATGCTGATATTAGCATTCAGGTCAAAGCACCACTGTGCCCAAGTACAGCCTTCCAGAACCAGTTGTTGCGGCAGACTCCTATTATTATTATTATTATTATTATATTATTATTATTATTATTATTATTATTTATTAACGTGTAAAGTGGGAATTAGCACCAGAAATCCTGTTGTGGTCAGTCTGCATCTGTAATCTTTCACTAGTGCCTCTTCTGAACTTACCCTGCTCATATAAACACACATTCACATGGAAGTCTGCACACATACAAAGTCTCAATTATGTCACCAATGCAGTCTGTCCTATGTCTTACTCTGTCTCTTATTGTCTCTCCCCCACCCCAAGCCCTCTTGTCTGATAGGAGAATGAGGAAGAGGAGGAACTGGATATCTTGGGAGAGCCTTGGAAAGTTTCTGTGAAGTCTCAATGAAATCAATAGAAGAGCCTCTGTAGTGTTTGACTCAATGGCCAAGAAAGGGCGTACGAAGGGCGAGAAGCCCGAAGCGCTCATCTCTGCCCTCCAGGCAGCCAATGAAGATCTCAGGTCCAAACTGACTGACATACAGATAGAGCTACACCAAGAAAAATGCAAGGTACTGTACAACATCAAGTGCCCAGAATATTTATGATATTGTTGGTCACTTTAAATGTAAGCTTAGTAGATTATTATCTACTATCTATTATCTCCACAAAGGGGAGTTGCTTATTCATTTTTTTGAAAGCCTGTGAATAAATTAAGTTCCCCCCCAAAATATGACATTTAGAGCAATCTTTGGACCATACAAGTTGCACACATCTAACCAGGGTCTTATAGGTTCAACTAAATCTTGTAACATGATACCATATATGACATGCTTATATTGATGTCATGCATGTATGACATACTGTATGTTCAGTTAATGGTAAAGCGCTGCACATACTACATTGTGCACTGTGCATTCATTCAGTAAACTATAACATTTTCCCGAATAAGTTAAGGTGGTTCAATCTTGGCTGAATCAAAATGCGTACGCTTTACAGGATGTGTCTCAAAAATATTTTGGAATATATTACAGTGTCAGGGATTTCAATTCATACGAATATGTGAAAAAAGTAGCTTTATTACATTACTTATGACACAAGTCTGCAAGGGTTCACTCCACATGTCTGAAAGGTGCCCCTGAATTCATGTGAAAGTTGCTTGGCAAAACCACAAGATTATTTATAACCTTTTGAATAAAGATAAACCAGAGAGTAAAATGTTCAAAAACAATGAGCGACACCCACTTGGTATACAGTAGTAGGTATGCTATTTATGTAAAATAACAGAGTTCCTCTCTCCTCTTCCTCTGTTGCTCCTCTCAAAGGTGAGCAAACTGGAGCGCGACAAGCTGCAGGAGGTGAAGCGGGTGCGAGAGCAGGAGCAGCACCGTTACACTGCCACGTTAACAGAGCAGCGGGCCAAGTGGCATGAGGAAAAGCAAAAGGAGCTCCAGGCCCTCAGGGAAAACCTGACACGGCAGCATGAGCAGGAGCTGGCCCGCCACGCCAAAATCAAAGACCAGGAGAACCAGAGGCTCAAAGCCGCACTGAGCGCCATGCGCGATGGAAGCGGAGAGAAGGTGAGGTTAAGATAGGGGAGTGAAGCTGGTGTTTGATATTGCAGTGGTGAAATAGACGCACAGACGTAAACTGATACATTTCAGCAAAAACACGATCCCAAAGCAGCAGCTGTGGAACCAGGACAGAGGGCTTGGTACAGAACAGCCACCTTCACATCTGAGAAAAAAGCTCCTGATGGGGGAAGCACTATAAATAAATACTCATTACTCACCTTTCTTTTGCCCACATAATCTTAAAAAAAATCTTCTGATAAGCGTTCTGCCAAGCCACATCAACATCCTTCCTCTTTCTCCTCCCAACCCAACCCCACACCCTGCTCCTTCAGGTGCGGACAGCACTGACTCTGGAAGCTAAGGAGGACGCACGTCGCTTCTTTGACCAGGAGAGAGTGAAACTCCTGCAGGAGATAGCAGAGCTGAAATCTACTAAAAAGCAGACCGATGAGGCTCTCAGCAACATGATCCAAGCTGACAAGATGAAGGCTGGTGACCTGCGGGTGGAGCACCAGCAGCACCAGGAGCAGATCTCCAAGATCAAGTGGGACTGTGAGAGGGACATCCGCAGACTGGTATGCACAGTAACTGCTACTAAATACTTAACAACAGACATGAATATGGCAATTATCCAGATATTAGTAGGGCCCACTGCTGATGTTACACTGAATACCTATGCAGCAAAAGCAAAAATAGGACCAAGCACAGTGGGGTCGATTTTTTTACTGTTACATCAGCTCATTTCATGTGAACTGTATGAAAGCGTTTGTTGTGGAGCCACAGGAAAACCTTTTCAGTTTTAATCCTGATGGCAGTGGGGACTTTTTTTGGCTTTTGAGGTATAATTTTAAAATGTGGTTGGGGTGGTAGGTTTAAAAAAATATAATATTCGGCTGCATCGTTAACATATGCAAATATTCATGCTACAGAGAGCCTAACCATTAATGGTTATTTTTATTAATATATACAATAACAAGAACCTGAGAAAGGCAGAGCAGGGACGAGAAAATGTTTCTTATTTCCACTTCATAAATGACTTTAAGAGGTACTTAATTTTCAACCTAATAACAGTCCATCTCTTTTTACAAGGCGAATGATTAAAGGTAGCTACAGCAGAGTGACATCAGGAAAAAATTATTATTATTTCTATCTTCTTCACTATAGGTGGATGAAATCAAATCTAAAGACCGCACCATCTTTGCTTTGGAGAAGGAACTGGAGTCAACGGCGGGTTTCCTACAGAAGCTGCAGCTTCAAAAGGATGCGCTGGATGAACAGCTGTTCCTTGTCAAGGAGGCTGAGTGCGGCCTGGGAAGCCCGAAAAGAGAGATTCCAGGCAGAGCTGGAGATGGAGCTGAGCACTGTGGCAGCCCAGTAAGTAGAGGGGAATAGCAAGGAGAAGTTTCCTCCTCTGCTCATTCATAGCATACATTAATATCAACCTATTATTAGAGAGAAACAGGGAGCCTTCGTACCTCTGAAACCCTATTTTCCCGTCTTTTCTTTACCCCTTGAATACCACTTTGTAGCTAAAGTTCCAATGTGCCAGGACTGACTGAGAGATTTCTTTTTATAGACAAGGTTCCCAAATTTATGAAAGTTCTCTGTACTAGTGGCAAAAGATTTGAGAGAGCATAAAACAAATACCAGCGCTACTCAGTCTGCAAGTCAACATTTTTTGAATGCACAGGCACAGAATTTGTAAGTAAGGACAGAATCGTGTGT